TATGTACTCGTATTACCCTAAAAACTATCAGGTCTGTGCAGTGTCCTATGACATCTATGTACCAAGTGTCATTGAAATGTGATGATTAGTACTTGAAATATCAAAAGCTGAAAATTAATTAATTATGCAAATTAGGTAATTAATATGTACTCATATTACCCTAAAAACTATCAGGTCTGTGCAGTGTCCTATGACATCTATGTACCAAGTTTCATTGAAATGTGACAATTACTACTTGAAATATCAAAAGCTGAAAATTAATTAATTATGCTAATTAGGTAAATAATATCTACTGATATTACCCTAAAAACTTTCAGGTTTGTGCAGTGTCCTATGACATCTATGTACCAAGTTTTATTGAAATGTGATGATTAGTACTTGAGATATCAGTGGAAAAGCCGAAAATTGATTAATCATTATTGCAAATTAGGTAATTAATATTGCACAGATTTTTACCCAAAACTAATCAAATCTGCGCATTAGTTTGGAGCATCTGTGTGCCAAGTTTCATCAAAATCCAATGAGTGGTTCTTTAGATATCAGTGGAACAGTCATGAAACAGCCAAAAATCAGCTAATTATCATGCAAATTAGGTAATTAATATGCATGGATTTTTACCAAAACCTAATCAAATCTGCGCATTGGCCCAGAGCATCTATGCACCAAGTTTCATCAAAAACTGATGTATGGTTCTTGAGATATCAGTGGAACAGACGGACACACATACACACACACACACACACACATACACACATACAGACACACTAACTGCAAAGACTCCCTTTTTGTGCTTCGCACACGGGAGTCAAAAAGATGATCACCTTTCAGTATAGTGTCAATGTATTAACTATTCATTGTGTTTTAATTTTGCTATTTACGCAGATACATGTAATCCACCAAATTAATTCCAAGTGAATAATGTTACTCAGTATTTTATTTAAAAATTCATGAATTTAGAAACCCAGATAAAATGCTCAAAATACTAGTAAAAAATAATGTATTCAAGGGATTATAATTATCATTTCCTGGTAAATCTATTCTGAAACTAGCATCAACTTTTTTGTTTGAGAAAGAAAACGAGACCTGAATATTTTTATTCTGCATTTAGACATATATACACAGGTTACCTTCATCATCTTTAACATCCATGGTAAATATATAATCCAACCAGAACGCCCCAAATCTCTGCAAGGCCCAGGACTCTGAATATTTCATTTGATGTTGCTCCAAGTCAAATATGAACATGGTTCTCTCTGCATTGTTTTCGGGGCTCTCTCCATCAAACAGTGACCCAGTTATATAATTCTCTTGTTTCTTCTCAATATTGAAATCTCCGCAGTACAAGAACGGCTGTATGACACGAAGATGGCAGAAGTTGAAAAAAAAGAACATAGCACAACTATCAAAACCTTTCCCATGATGAACTGTAACCCATTTGAACACCATTTTGATGCAACATCTTACTAATTTTTATATATTTTTTAGAATTTCAATGTTAATTTTGTATCAGATGAACATGATTGCTACTGGTCTTGATATTGATCAAAATTAGGAAAAAATGTACGTGGCCTTATTTTGTGAAAGATCATAAAAATTGATTTTGACATTCAAAGAGTATAACATTGAATGTAGTAGAGTAGAGTTCATCAAAAAATAATATTACTCTCTTTAAAAATAAAGATGGCAATTTACTGTGGAATACTTTATTTTAGCTGGAATTACTTTTTGCTGAAAAGGCTTTTTGGGTGTTTTGTATGGGATTTATTTTCACTGATTTTTGATGAGTTTAATGTGAAATATAGGAAAAAAAGTATATTCGCTGGATTTTATTTTCACGGAATCATCCTTTCAGTGAAAATAGTGAAAATAAATTTCAAGCGAAAATAAAGTATTCTACAGTATGTAAATCTATAAATGTAGACAGAGGAGTTAAATAATAACAAATATAACCTGATAATGATGTCCTTCTTGTAAGTCTGGAAGTTCACATGCACAGTCCCCCATACCGACGACTCTAGCATTTGTACAGCCAGCCTGGGCATTGAAGAATGGCTCTCCTTTTAATAAGATTTCAGTACAAGCACCTTCTATAGCTAGACCCATGAATGGATTGAACACTATTTTCTGTGGGCCGTAAAATGGACTGTCTTGTCGCACATCCGTCAGCTGAAATAACAAAGAAGCATTGTTTTTGTTTGATAGTAAATGTTTGTTGAAATGACAGTCATTCAAGGCACAACATATAGGTCCCATGCAATGTTTGAAAACGTAGTGTGTTTACTTGAAATTTGATCATGCTCTGTGTGAAGCTTTAAAAGTTGCTTGGTAAAGAAAAAATATTTTTATTTTCCAGCTACCAGGGGGTATATGTAAAAAAAATTTGCATTGCTTGATACATTCATGCACCCCCCCACCCACAATTTCAAATAATCCACCCTGAAGTATGCAAGTTACACCAAAATGTAAACACTTTTCTAGTGATAATTTGGATACTATTTTGAAGATGATCAGATGAAAATTGCTTGAGTTATTGCAACCAGAAGAAACAGTTAACAATGAGAACGACGATAACAATGACAAGAACAACATACATTTTTGCCTTGTGTGCCTCTCCTTCCATCTATGATACAGAAAGATGACATTTCAAATTTCCTACAAGGACAACATTTTAGATTTCCTGTTCTTCACTTACCTTGAACGTGACTCTGACGTGGTTGAAGTAAAATCCCAGTGCCAAGATAGGAAGTTCCAGTTTCTTCTTCGGCCTCGGTCTCCCTTGTTGATACGTTTCTAACTCCTCCTCATCCTCAATGATGACCAATTGTGGGACGTAGGACCACGCCCATGAAGCCCATCCTTCAGGATTTGAGTTTTCATCTTCATCAGCTCCGTCATTTTCTGTAATAAAAGATTTGTTATCTATAGATGACATCAAAGGAGGGTAAAGAAAGCATGCACATGGAATATGGGGGTGTCAAATTATGATTGATTGACATAAGGGATATACAATTTTCGGCAGATGTTTTACCCGAATCCCAGCTTCCATTTGTAACGAAAATGTTGATTTTTTATTGTGAGCATTAGAACATGTATTAACAGAAAGGTTTTCAATAATAAATACCCTGTGAATTCATAGATGTTTCTTCATTTGTTGTTGCTTCCAAAAGACTGTCACCTTCTTCTTCATTCTCAGTATGTGGCGGACCAAGTTCACCGTAATACAACGCCATCAGTAATTGCACTAAACGTATAAACATTGGTAATTGAGTATCGCTCATCGATATGTCAAGCTTCTCGCATAAAGTATTGATCTTGATAACGCTCGCTCGCTTTGCATTGATGCTGTCAAATGTCATGTGCATCCGCATCATCAACGAACATTTATACAGAAGCGGCTCCTGGTACATTTCGATCTTCCCGCTCGCATTACGCTTATCTAAACACACTGTCAAATCTGAGAACTGACAAACCCTTCGCAAGACCAGCTCCGGCTGTGCTAACTCAATAAATGCACTCTCCCAGTCTCCATTAACGCTAAACGATTCAGCAGATTTGACGTTTAATGACAAAACTATATCATCTTCCACATACTTTAAAATTAAATTGTTCACAATAATATTGATGTTGTTGATTACTCGATTAACCAAAATTTGTACGTAACTCGGCGGGATGTCTTCCTCATGGTGAACCTTTTTCGGTTTAGATTTCTTCTCGGTGATCTTCGCGACTGAACTGGACTTGGAACTTGTACTGTTGCGGTCACTGTCAGCAGCATCACGTAGCTTCAGCACGCACTCGATAGTGTTGATGGTTACAACAACCGGCTCATATATCAACTTGTGCCATGGAACATGAATACGCAACTCATGGATATGCCCGCTCACAAACGATATCGGAAGGTTCAGGTCATGTTCTAATACATCTAATTTCAAGTCCAGCTTGTTCAGGACCAGATCACCACCCCATAATGACAGCTGAAGATCTTCTGGTTTGATGTTCTTAATATATTTATTGACGTAACTGAGCAAGATGGGAGCTAAATAGGATTCGATTTTAAACATCTTGATGAGTGGTCAGAAGCCCAAGGGCAAGATTTCAACCTGAAAATAATGGGAAAAAAATGTCTGAAATTTTACTTTGTCATGCAATAATTGAATACCATATCTGTTCTATTAGAAGGACACATAAACCGAACACAACATTTACTATACGCTGATTGTCCATAGAGATACACCTGTCATTTACGTATTTAAGCACATGGGTTACTAATAGAGAAAATACAGTACACATATATATATATATATATATATATATATATATATATATATATATATATATATAGTCGCATACTGTTGTGTGCTAGATATAATGATGGACTTTTGAGTACTGTGGTTTTTCGCTTGTCAAATTGTACCCCTTTTGGTAAACAATGGCCCTGATTAAAGGGCAGTGTTAACTGTCTGTTGATTCATGTCATGTTCAATATTGGTCCTTTAACTACATATATAACACATGTAAAATACATTTTGTTTATGCAAAATTCGAACATGCACTGCACATTAACCACTGCCCTTTGACCTAAGAAGTTCATCTGTAACAAGTATGTATGACATATGAAATAAGTGCCATTCATTTCCATTATGATGAGAAAAGATCCAGACAAGGTAGAACGTTACTAAAATTAAAAATAATAATAAATAATTTTCTATTTTTACCTACTGTAAAGTATTTAATTTTTTGCACTAGAACGTTTCAGAATTTAGTGATTTAATGGTGTTTATGAGAAAAAAAGGTGAAAGACACTCTGTCTTTTGGACCCCAGTGAAAATTTCCCAATTTTCACAGACTTGCTTCTGACAAAATTAAAGTTGTTAATAATATGTGACATTACAAGATAAGGAAGTGAAATAAAAACAAATTGGTCAGTTCCGAGAAAACTGATGTCCAAAATGGAGTAAAATGAGCACATTTTGTGGCAAACTTTAATTTTTTACAATTTCTTGCATTAAGTAAATGAGAGATTTACAGCATGTCCACATAACGTATGATCCAGCTTTGCCATATTGTAAATTAATCGTTAATTAATCGTTAATTAATCGACCACCAAAGCCAATTTTTCTTTCTTTTTACAAAAATAAACCTGGATTATGGATAGTTTTTTTTAAATATTTTTTCCAAAGGCTTGTTCATAACCAAGCACCAATAGGGAATTATGACTACTAGTATTTGGTTCAAAACTGTTACAATTATAGAAAAATAAACAAAAATTTACAGAATGTTGCACAAAAATGTTGGCAGGTGATCAAAAAAGAGGCGTACATAAGGGATTGCAAGGTAATTTGAGTCAACAAGACTACAAAACGTTTATCTGTTGTCAATGAGAACTGTTATAGTGTCATCTAATAAAGTGCAGATTATATATTAAACAATTCGATATTGAACATTAATAATATTTGCATCAGCTTTCAATATAGCAAATGTGGTACATTTAATGTACTCTAAGACACTTTATTTTAGCTGAAATTAATTTTTGCTGAAAAGACTTTTTGTATTTTGTATGGAATTTATTTTCACTAATTTTTGACGATTTGAATGTAAAATATAGGAAAAAAGGTATATTCGCTTGATTTTACTTTCACTGAATCATTCCTTCAGCAAAAATAAAATCAAAGCGCAAAAAAATAAAGTATTTTACAGTACATGTTCAAAATATTATTTTTTTTAGCTTTGATCATTACAATTTTACTGTGAATACATCAGTGGTTCTCATCAATTGTTTCAAATGACAGTAATTTTTCTTTAAAATATTCATAAACGTAATTTTGAAAATCAGTGTAAATCTGACTTTTATTAAGGAGTCATAAAATATGAATATGTAACTTTCATAACCAAGTCTGGCGATATGCAATATGATTTCATGTGAAGCGAACATGAAAGCGACTCTATTGGTGCACATCAATTCACTTTTAGCATGCCACATCCATTGTTGACTATTTGTGTTCCAACTATACATTGACTAAACATATCTGCAGTAAATCATAATGATCATTGCTGTGGGTCTATAAGCCAGGTTTGGAATACAAAATATTGAGCAATCGCTATGGCATAGTAAAATGGAATTGAATGAAGTTCTGACCAATAGCGTCACAATATACAGTGGGTGCTTGCAATGTTTGATTGCATAAACAGAAATGAGTGAGAATATCGCTGCATTCAAAAATACACATATTATATTACACCATTCCATGATTACACGCTTTGCGACTAAGCAAAGAACACTATCAAAAATGGTCTGAGATGAACAGAAAGCAGTTCTTTCACAGACTCACAAATTTGCAGTATTTGCAATAGGTTTTCTTGCGATCATATCGCAATTCACTTGGCTTCTTTACATGTGATATTCATCGCATACCCCACCCTTACATCCATTCATCCTTGCTTTTACAAAGATTCATACTATTAACTTTGTACAACTGTGATTATATAATATACAGCTAGGAACTACAGTATGCAGAAAATTTAAAAAGTAGAGTAATTCACTGAATTTATTATTATATCAATTTCAAAAAATATAATTCTCATAATTATGGAAATAGATTCCAGGTTATAATCGGGGTATCATGATCCCACTGCCATCAGGCGATTTTAGAAACTAGACAACACAACAGCGGCGACGTGGCAGCTGTGCGAGCTGCAGTTCGGCGGAATACTGCCATTACTGGGCGATAAAAAGCATAATATCCGTATCGGCGATATCTCACCAATTATACAGAATATATTTTTTTTAATTGATACTAGGCTTAACCACAGTAGTTAAAGATCGGCGTTATTTAACGATTGCAAGTGGAAAAAACTAAACTCACCTGTCTCGACGACCGCCATCATGTTATTATTGCAGAAGACCGCTTAAGTTAGCGTATTTTTTCTTTCGGAACTACTCATTTCACCACGGTCGCGTACTGTGATATGCATTTTTTTTATAACTTACAGAGACATGGACATTTAATTGTTAAAATGGTCATACAAATAAAACATTGGAAAAAAGTGCATTGCTGAAAAATAAAGTTTTTGCAAAGGGTGCCATATTGTGAATTGCCGCCGGGTTACCAACTTCCGGTATGTTGGACATTTCAACTCGCAGACGACCTTGTCTTTTGTCTGTTTCAGCTGTGCTCTGTTTATGTTCCTGAAAATGTTCGATTTTTGGTGATTTATTGGCGTTAAAATCCTCCGAATCACCCCCTCGACGTGATGTAACTTGTCTGGATTATCGAACCGGTTGAAATTTGTACGAAGAAAAGATATTTTTCGACAGACGCTTAGTTTTCCTCAGTCGGATTGTGTGCGTGCTTGGCTCGGCGTGTGTTTCTCTCATAAAACACATACATTACATTCGATCACAAATCGATCACTAGGTTCGCCTGTATTTAGTGTCAACTATTGTGTACCAGACAAACGGAGCGGCTGTCGATAAAAATCAAACTGGGCCAACTTCTGACGTGTCGAAAGCAATTGACGTTTTGTGGTGAGTATCTTTGCATTGGGGGGAAAAGCCACGGCCATGATGTGAGCCTTAAAGAGGTTCCCCAGCCTTGGCGTTTAAAATGCATTTTATTATTAGCAGGACGTCATTTAAATAACACACAATACGCACTCGTTCACACGTTTCACTACATCCCTGGTATTTTGGCTTAGCTGAAAGGAATCCGCATCAGTTTGTTTCAATTACGCTTTAAAAATGATTTGTTTTCGTTGATTTTTCAACCAATGTTTGTTATTATTGCTTTTGAATTCCTGATGTAGATGTTGGTTCGCACGTTGCCTCCACGCCAAGGTCACTTCCCTCATTTGACAACTTGTAAATATACCTCTATGCTAAAGAATCGACTTCGTGTGCACATTAATTTAAACCATGAAACAAAACACATCTTTATTAGCATAAATCGTATTATAAAGAGAAACCATGGTCAGCATCATGATCATATATGTACTTACTACACTTGCGTTTTTTTGTTAAAAAATTGTAGATAGTTAATCGAACTAATAGTAATACTATTACTCATGATTTATGGTGTTAAATGTATCTATTATTAACAAAGGACCTGAAAAAGGTTGGCCTTTTTGAAAAATTGTTTATATGTTTCGTTCTTATCTACATTGATACATTTTAAAGTAATACTACAGTGAATTTCCTGAAAGCAAAAATGAAGAATGTTATTCTTTAGACCATGCATGTTTTGAAGTGTGTTGTCAACAAGGCTTGACTGACATCTGTATGTCGTGACTCTTTCACAGTAAAGATAATCGTGTTCTCTGGGTTGCGATACTATCATACGAGTCACTCTGTAGCATTCAGAATTTGAATCTTTAAAAGTTTTAATCATGTGGGTTTTTACCTGTTTTAGCACAATATCCTTCATTGCCATAATTTAACATTTGCAATCAGGGTGATGGTCTCCCTTCTCCTACCCCACTTCCTTCTGCCACTCTTCTCCCTGATCATGCCAACACTAGTGGCAGTGGTCTTCTCGGGTAAGTGCCCAAGTATGGTAGTTAATATTTGTGTAATGCAAGTATATAATTTGCATATTCATAATTAACAATGTATTCAATAATCTTTGTTGTTTCTTGGAAGTTCAAGCATGACATTACAGTGTCACATCAAAATGAAACCGCTGTGCTGCATGTGGGTTTGCTTGGTATAAAGGAAGTGATGAAACACTATACACATAAATTATGATGTAAACAGATGATTGTGCCAGCAATATATGCAAATTGAGATTGTAATCCGGTTTGGTTACAATAATGATGGTTATTAGAAGCTATTATAATTATTATTGAGGGTAATCTGGCTATTATTCGACGCCCAAAGAAATGATTTCAATTTAACAATAGTCATGTTCTGGCTACACTAAGTTATTTAGTATGGGCTAGATTTAAGCTTATCATGCACATGATTACGTGTTCATGCATAGGAAAGAATAACAGCATGGGCTAAGGAACACCCAAATTTTGTTGCTACATGTATGCTTACTCAGTACAGTAACCAGGAAGGTGTACATGTTAGTTCTATGGTTATAAAATAACAATTCAAATTCAGAATGAACTGAAGTTGTACAGTCTCATCGTCAATTCATTTTTTTCCCTGGGAAAAATGTCTCTGGATGTGCCCGCCTTGATTGTCATGTCAGAAATGGCATACCATTATGAATAGTTATGATATATACCCGGTAATAGTAAATCTTCCAAATAGACATTGAATACAATGGTGTTTTAGACTCTTATCCTGAGCTGAGCATTTGCACACATTTTAGTCTGTGCTAATTATTAGACCACGTCTTAAAAATGAGTCGGATTTAGTCCTTGTTAAGGTTAGTAGGTCTTCTTTGGTTAGTATACATGGCTTTGACAAGGTTTTGAAAGCTAATATTATTATTGAGGGTAATCTGGCTATTATACGATGCCGAAGAAATGATTCCATTATAACAATTGAGCGGTAATAGGTGATAATGTAATAATGGAACAGTTACTGTAAATAATAGCAGTGGTGTCAATGTTTGTTCTTCAATCGACTTATGAACCTTTGTGAAGAAGTAGTAAATAAAACGATGTGTGGCTAAATATCTTACTTCTGGCAGTGCGAAAACTACTAATATTTCTCTCTTGGGTATACACAAATATTTTTAGCGTGCTTACAGTTCTTGTGTTGTTTGTTTGTTGTGGTAGTATCATGCAGACTTATCTCCCTAGTATGGTCTAATATGTCGACCAATGGGTCTTGTTACTAAAGCAAACTCAGTGTAAAAATTAAGGAAAATCTCTATAGCCACATGCAATTTTTTTTTAAGACATTCCTCCCCAAAAATCTAGAAGCTGGCTCAACATGATTTTAGGGATACCATTTTGACATGGGATCCTTTTAAATTCACACTGGTGTTACTGATATCGCATCCTTTGTTTCTCACATTATCCACTACCAGTAGTACCCGGTATGTAATTTAGAAAAACGGTGACAACATAGAAATGTAAACTTGCTTCATGGAATCCTGTTGTTGAAACCCCTGTAAGCTAATCAACTGACTTGTTAATGTAAACATATAATTATTAATAATGAGATTATCATGCATTGTCAACAAACTATACACTTAAGCAGTACTGGGTTGCATTGACATCTGCAATTTTGTTGTTTTTTGGTGATAACCTTATTATTCTACTTTCGTCCTGCTTGTAGTAATATTTTTTGAGAGATAACAGCCCAAAATGGTAACAAAAACGTTTTGCTTTGTGCGAACATTTGCATTCAGTGATTATTCAATGATTATTCTGTTATCTGCTATTGTGCTTCTACATTCGATATAAACAAATTGAAGTGTTTTAGTGTGACATGACATTGTATAATAATACAATGTAATTTTCTTTTTTTGCCAGCTTTTGCATTACATTCACTGTAGTACCTGCTTGCTTTGTAAAGTTAGACAAACAATTATAAATTGTTATTACAACATTTTGTGTAGGCAATCCTAAATGCAATGTTTGCAAACCAGTCATTTATCGGATGTCAACATATTGGCAGCATATTGTGTAATGCATACAATTTTATTTAATTGAAATCTTCTTAATTCTCGCTGAGGTGGTTAACAGAGTTTGTTAGACAGGGACATTAATGAAATGTAATCCTTAAAAATCCACTGCACAAATCAGAAATGTACTGTGATTTTTTTAATATCCAATGTAATCTTCTATCTACGTTTTGCAGAGTTGCTAATACCATTCAATAATTGCTAAAACTAAATTGAGATTCAGAGATTTATAGAGTCCTAAATTTTATCTACATTTCTAATTGCCATATTTCTGGCGTAAAACAATAAATTTAGATGAAAACACTTAGGCTTTTTGTCTGAAATATTTGAACAAAATTAGAACATTTAAAAAAAACGCCTACCGGTAATTGCTTATGTCCAGTGAGCATCTGAATCACTTATCAGTAGCCAGCGTGGTAAAAACTATTTTGTGCTTAGCAAACGCCCAGACATATGAAAACTAAACTTTTTTGAATAGGCTGAATACAGTGGCCTTGAAATAAAGTGGGCAACTATCATATGACAATTTTGTTCACTCTGTGTGTTGAATGTGTACATCAGATTCCTGGTGTACATGTACTTGTATTATTTGACTACCTTGCTCTCTCACCCTTTTTAAATAGGAGCCATTTTTGTGTCGCTACTTTGCAGTTTAGTAACTAAACAATGCAATGAATGACCATTGATTAGGTTTAGGTGTTTTGAACACGTGTCTGTTTAGGTAGCATGTTATTGTAGCTATTGACTACATGTACTTGGTATTTTCAGCAGAAAGTGTGCTCTTACAAACTTGGGTATACAGTATACTAAATATTACATTAAACCATTCTTTCAACGTCTAAGCTAATACATTTTGTTTTACAGTAAAAATTCTTTTAGATATATTATTACATGCATAGTGATCATGGGTTTTTGTAATTTTAGTGGGAAAAAATACTGGTGTAGAACTCTATAAACTTGTAAGTTGTACGCATTCATTGTCTCTGAATTGACTTCTTCTAATTTGCATGAAGCGAACTCAAATTCAAGCAGTTTCCCTGAAAGAAGTGATGATCATTTAGAACTGTGTTTATGATTCCAGAAATTATTTTTTGATATCGCTGTCACTGTTTTATGCATGTATGTATGTATGTTCAAGGTCTACCCTATACACCACATTAAGTTTATACTATAATACCCTGTACCAGGCTGCCTAGCAACTAAACAAGCATTGATGGGCATCAAGTTTACAGCCTGGTCTAGACACATGTTTGCCTTTCCTGTACCAAGTAAATCTTGAACTTGGTTTGTATAAATACACGATATATATGTTTTTTGGTTCATATTTGTGGAATGCGTTCTCACCTCTCCAACTGAAATGCAAGTTTACTATGCAACTGATTTAAATTCTGAACATGTGGCTTTTTAAATTTATTTAGGTGAATAGAATAAGGCCTTGAAAGACTGTGACATTTTTATTGGCAGCAGAGATCTATGTTGGCAGTGAGTACAATTTCATTATCATATTGTTTTGAAGAGAATTGTTCAGATATTGATTTCAAAACCCAAGTAGAATCGTGTGTTAGTGGCTCCGGGATTTCAGTTGACCTGTTGATAATGGTGACCACTGCTGACATTCTATTTATGTGACCTAGTTTGTCCTCTGATGACTTTAGTTACCTATTAAATGGATTATGGTGTTGAGAATGAGAATGAATTGATAATTTTATGGCAGTATCAGTACTCAAATGTACTTACTTTAAACTAATATTAAGATAATATGATTAGATTGGTCACACTTTGGTGTTTCGTGGATTATGCTATGTTTACTGTACAAATTCAGTGAAATTTTACCATAGATTTTAGTAGTAAAGATTTTGTACAATATATCTCAATTATATGTTACTGTATGTTGTTATAGTGAGAGAAAATTGCCGTGGAAAATGCTTCTAACATTTGCTACTGAATATTGTTTCCAGTGAACTTTTTTGGTCAATTCTTTTGTAAACCTTATCTCTGCTAGCTGAAAAAATCTCTGTCGTAGTGTGTTTTTGTACATGTATGTAGAACATTTGTATTGTAAGATGTTTTGCCTGCAGCTTTTCAGGGTGACTTGATTGGCTTCATTTGTGTTATGTCACTCGTGTTATTGCTTGACTGAGTACATGCATCAGATTATCATGGTTTATTCATCTGTGTGTATATAATTTGGAGTCTGACTGAATTAAAAGCCTATGCTTTCTGCAATTCAGAAGAAATTTGTAGTCCTGTCTCATTGCTATATGTGCTAATTCAATTTGCTAACCTAGATGACTATGCAAAGGCAGTTTTATTGAGTTCACATGTTCTTGATAGTCTATGCACTGGTTCTCATCTAAGCTTTTAAAATGACTGCCACCATGTTTTGTTCTGCTTAAGAAGGTTACAGCTGTTGTTGCTTACATAACAGTTTACTCCCAATAAAAAATCTTGGTTACATTTAATCTTGGTAATTTTCATGAATAATTATGTCTAAATGTTAACAGATGCAACTATGTGTTGTGGCGGTGAGATGGGAGGGGGTTCTGTAAAGTACTTTATTTTAGCTGCAATTAATTTTTACTGAAAAGATATTTTGGATGTCATGTATTGAGTTTATTTTTTTCTGATTTTTAATGAGTTGTATGTTAAATATAGGAAAAAAGGTATATTCACACGATTTTATTTTTACGGAATCATCTCTTCAGTGAAAATAACGAAAATAAATTCTGACTGAAAATAAAGTATTTTACAGTACATTTAAAGTTACTGGTACATTCTGAAAGCATTCATAGAATTTTGTTGGGATTTTGGAACTATTATGCCAGATATTTCATAGTATGAATTACACACATTGCAGGAAAATCCAAGAATTTCTGTGGATTGCAGAACAGAAACAAATCTTTGTGAATCCATGCATATATGAACTCTTTTCAGAAGCACTAAAGGAGACTTGAACACAATAAAATTCAAAAACTGAAATCGACGGCATTTAGACATGCTGCTATTATACATGTCCCAATCTGCACAAATTCAAATCATCAAATACTGTAGAATACTTTATTTTTGCTTCGAATTTATTTTCGCTATTTTCGCTGAAGGGATGATTCCGTGAAAATAAAATCCAGTGAATATACTTTTTTTCCTATATTTCACATTAAACTGATCAAAAATCAGTGAAAATAAATTCCAAGCAAAACGGCCAAAAAGCCATTTCAGCAAAAATAAAGTATTCCACAGTATATCACATAATAGTTCCAAACTCCAATAGAGAATGCAACTTTGAAGGACAGTGTAATGCATCCTGTTTGAAATGGGTCCCATACAATTTGTACATCATGTAATATGCGTTGTTTACATTGTATACTAGTATATTCCAACATTCTAATGCATCCTATACCCACCACAACCACTCAGTAAATGCCCAATTCAATTCCCAAATTAAATGTGGAGTGAAAAGTCATGATATTTTCAATGGAAATAAGACAAATTCAAAGTGAATACACTATAATAGACAATAGAGTTTCCTTCCTGTCCACGGTTCATCGTATTAAAGCCTTTACACAATTGCAGATTTGCACTGCGAGCTACCCCTAAAATTCTAAATAATACTAGATTACAGCTGCTCTGCTTATTGCTGTATAAATAAGCTTTGCTATCAGCATGAGCTGTCATAACAGCCGTTTTATGTAATTAATTCATGCATATTTTTTTGTCATGCAAGATATCTTTTTTGCAACCATATGTTGTACACGTTATATGCCACATATTGCATTAGCTGTATTATTTCATGATGTCTCCTACTCTACTGTATGCTTCAAACGTCTTGTATGTAGTATTCTCTGATCGTCATCTGTGATGGGCTATGGTAGAAATTAGAATGCACAAGCACGTTTGAATTCCCCTTTGTGTTTTACCAATGAGCCGTATTTTCTAGCTCTTGGTGATCCATGGAAATCTCCATACCATAAAAAAAGATCAGTGTATTCATGATGTTACATCAAGTTATTTCACTGATTTTGTTTGTACATTAATGTAAAATAATTATTCTTTTTTTTTTTGGATTTCCCAATAATAAATATTTTCATCCTAAATGTTTTGGGGTCAGACGTTTCTGTATAATTTTCTATGAATCTAGTGTTCATTCACCTGTCCACAGGGGATCGTGGAATTTTGTGCATTTACCAGGAAAATTCTGAGAACAGTGGACAGGTCTCTAGTTTCAAGTGTTACATTGTACACACAAATAAAATTTAGAAAGATATTTTAAATATCATATGATCCATAATATCATTTACATAATTCCGCCTGCTAAGCTCTATTGAATGTATTCACAATTGTAATCAAACAGGAATGTTCCCTCGTGAATATATATACCGGTATTTATTTCCTATGGTTTGTTTTTTATTATAGAATGCCAAGAGCTAAGTATTGGAGGAAGGCGACTGCTAAATCAGATAACTGTGCAGATGAGGTTTGTACTGTCATTAACTTATGCTTGATGTCAAATCATTTTCCTCTGAAATTACTGTAAATCATTTTATTTCTATAACTGTCAATTTTTGCATTAATTTGAGGGCATTTGTGAGTGAAAACTTTTGTTAGGGTTACTGTGATTCATCCTCAAAATTAAACTAAGAAATATTTAATTTTATTGTGACTCACTAAATTTGTGAATGTACACGTTTCATTTGTGAAATTAAAGGTATGCTTCTCACCCTTTTATGTTAGGTTACATTTTGTGTATTTACTCATATTGCCAACTAATGAATCATGTTCATTGTTGTAACCATGCTTGACATTTTAATAGCAAACTGCACTGTTAGTATGATCATTGGGTCTTATGCATGGGAACCCCCCTCTCCCAAAAGGTCAACCATGATGCTGGTATTTTATGGAGGTACAAATTCACTAACAATGTTATTTAATTTTCTTCCCAAAATGAATGTAGTTGTTCAAAAACAGTAAACCAAAGCAAAAAATGATCTACAATACAGTGTTTTCTCCTAAGCAATTTTGGCACTGAGCATTATTGTGTTTTATTTCTAAAATCTATCTCGAATCAGGTTAATTTGAATGCATGAAATGTTTCATAATAGTGCCAAAATTTACGGAAAACCTTGGTACTTCAGTAAGAAAAATTCACACAAAAAGGATTAAAAGAAACACTGAAAAATATTGGAAACATTTTTGCACATTACTGAAAATACTTTACCCCTGAAAGTACCTGGATGTATGCCTAAGGACATAGAAATAATGTAAATAATAACAAAGGGCACCAAGGCAAACTCATAAAGCATCAAATTCAAGCCTTGCATTTAGGGGTGATGCATAAGGCATACTGTAAAGGGGTTAATTATTCACTGGGTTTTAATTTTGCTTATTTCGCTGACTGGAAAATGCGCTAAAGTAAGACCAAGTGAATATGTAAAATTGAGCATAGAATACGTTATCTAAATGATAAAACAGTGAATTTAAAACCCACTGAACATGCCTGAAATGGTAAATCAGTGAAATTTAAACCCAGCGAAAATTAGTCTCTTTACAGTATTTCAAGACCTCATTAAAGTTGAAAGTAACACTTGCACACATTTGAACCTGTAAATCCTGTGCACTATGTTTGTTGTATAGCATCTGGGCTTGTATTCATAGCCATTAGATGTAAGGAGAATATTAGATCCAATATATCAAAACTAGCTTATTCATCATGCGTCATTATAGTCATTCCATCCATTACAGTGAAGAATTATCACTCCCAGTCGATAAATATATAAAATGTACCTGTATGAATACACATGTGTCCTTGCATCTGGAAACCATTTGTTGCTGTGATATCAGGCAACTGAGATGCTAAATTGTGTGAGGTACGGACTTTGAGTTACAAACATCGAGTTACAAAAATTACCATGCCCATACTTCAGAAGCCACACCCACTTTTGTGAACATATGCACAAATTGTAATTCTATATTCAATTAACAGTTAGAACTTCGAGTTACAAGCAGCCTATATTTTTGTTTTTGTTGAATGTCCAATTTTAGTAACTCAAATTTCAATTTACAGTTAACATAACTTCAAGTTACAGGAAACAATGATTTCCATAATTCGAAATTTGGTTAACTGTTAAATGAAATTTGAGTGGCTAAGTTTGAACGTTAAACAAAACAAAAAATATAGATTCCCTGTAACTCAATGATTGGTTAACTGGTTAACTTAAAGTTTGAGTTATTAAATGTGGACATTCAACAAAAACAAAAATGTATGCTGCCTGTAACTCAAAGTTCTGTTAACTGTTAATTCAACATAGAGTTACAATTTGGACGAGGTCACACAAAAGTGGACGTGGTTTCTAAAACTTGGCGTCATTTTTGTATCTTGATGCCTTTGTAACTCGATGTTCATAACTCACACAATTCAGTATCTCCAGGCAACTGTCCATTCGTGTCCAGACACATTACTTGTAGTAATATATACATGTATCGGTAATACATATGCATCTTCTACAGTGTGAAATATAATAGAAATCATGATTCAATTTTATTTGCCTCTATAGAAATAGTGATTTGCACAATTAATTATGTGCCAGGGTTCAAAGTTTTATGAAGGAGTACTACTATTAAATGGAAAAAAAAATATTCATATGTCATTGAGAGTAAATGTACTGTGAGTGTTAATTTTGCCAGTTTCACTGATTTGCGATATCGTTATCTTAAAGCCATGTGAACATTTAAATCAAACTTTATCGTTTTAATAGCAAATTCATAAATTTGAAACTATATGACGATGCTTATATTATCAACGGGGTGAAATTTAATAAATACCAGTGATACTCAATGCTTAAATTTGGTCGCAAACACTTGTCTACGTCATTGTATATGATTACATTGTTATGTACATGTTGATGTAATTTCAACTTCAGTGTGATTGTGTTTGCCCTGTATCTAATTTGTTGCCCTAAGGCTGTTGGACAAGGTGAGTTTAGCTTTCAATCTTAATTGTTCATATATGAACAATTTAAGGAAAGTAGAACATTCTATGATTACAATCATCACACTGTTATAACACTAGTGGATTTATTTTAATAATCAAGTAATAGATTATTTTGAGCTAGTACATGAACCATATTTTCTTCACTCAATTAATTTTCATCTGTAGAAATAAATAATGACAGTGAAGTATTGTACAATGCAGATAAAATGTTTTTCAAATTTTAACCAGTGAGTCTATGCTCTAACCGATTTGATTTGATAATTCAGGGCTCTCGCAAGAACTGATTTTCACACGAGTCGATGTGGCCCTAGTAAAATATTGTGATCCCACTGTGTAGAAAACCCCAGTGAAATGTTGACTGTGACCCCACTGTGTGGAGAACCCCAGTGAAATGTTGACTGTGATCCCACTGTGTGGAGAACCCCAGTGAAATGTTGACTGTGACCCCACTGTGTGGAGAACCCCAGTGAAATGTTGACTGTGATCCCACTGTGTGGAGAACCTCAGTGAAATGTTGACTGTGAACCCACTGTGTGGAGAGAACCCAAGTGAAATGCTCACTGTGACCCCACTGTGTGGAGAACCCCAGTGAAATGTTGACTGTGACCCCACTGTGTGGAGAGAACCTCAGTGAAATGTTGACTGTGACCCCACTGTGTGGAGAACCCCAGTGAAATGTTCACGGTGTCCTACTGTGTGAAAAACCCCAGTGAAATGTTCACGGTGTCCTACTGTGTGAAAAAACCCAGTGAAATGTTCATGGTGTCCTACTGTGTGGAGAACCCCAGTGAAATGTTGACTGTGACCCCACTGTGTTGAGAACCCCAGTGAAATGCTCACTGTGACCCCACTGTGTGGAGAGAACCTCAGTGAAATGTTGACTGTGAACCCACTGTGTGGAGAGAACCCAAGTGAAATGTTGACTATGACCCCACTGTGTGGAGAACCCCAGTGAAATGTTCACTGTGACCCCACTATGTGGAGAACCCCAGTGAAATGATCACTGTGACCCCACTGTGTGGAGAGAACTAAGTGAAATGTTGACCGGGACCCCACTATGTGGAGAACCCCAGTGAAATGTTCACTGTGACCCCTCTGTGTGGAGAGAACCCAAGTGAAATGATTACTGTGACCCCACTGTGTAAAGAACCCCAGTAAAATATTCGCTGTGACCCCACTGTGTGGAGAGAACCCCAGTGAAATGTTCACTGTGACCCCACTGTGTGGAGAACCCCAGTGAAATGTTCACTGTGACCCCTCTGTGTGGAGAGAACCCAAGTGAAATGATTACTGTGACCCCACTGTGTAAAGAACCCCAGTAAAATATTCGCTGTGACCCCACTGTGTGGAGAGAACCCCAGTGAAATGTTCACTGTGACCCCACTGTGTGGAGAACCTTAGTGAAATGTTCACTGTGACCCCTCTGTG